GAGAGAGAGAGAGAGAGAGAGAGAGAGAGAGAGAGAGAGAGAGAGCCCGCAGGCAACGAATCGTGGAAAAGATGCTTCGTCGACATTCACTTGTTTCACGCGAAGTAAGAGAAAAACACCTCTTTTGTTTTAGTAAGAGTTTTACGGCACGTGCAACACGATAAGGTCATATAAGTGCCGAAGATTAGAGGCGTTACAGGAGAGTAACAAACACAAAAAAGAAGGAGGGACGATAAAAGACGACAGATGTTTGATAAGAAAGAAGAAGCAAACCACACCACATCACCCGCCAACCACCCACAAAAGCACCTCTACAAAACTATACTACGTAAAGTTTCGGTGTGAGTGTGTGGGAGGGGGGGGGGTAACAAGACCATAAATAGTAACACAAAGAGTCGAAGCAACAACAAAAAGTACCGGCCATGTAGCACATAGAGACAACACTGCGCGACCTCAGTGCTTTCTTGTCCTAGGGGCCTGCATCCATTTTTCATAACAGTGGAAACAGTTCAAAACAAAGAGAAAGCTGAAGAAGAAGTCATTTTCAATGTCTAAAAAATGGAGATATGTAGGACAAGAAAAAAATGGAGATAGGACAAGAAAAAAAATGGAGAAAGGACAAGGAAAAAAATGGTGATAGGACAAGGAAAAAATGGTGATAGGACAAGAAAAAAATGGTGATAGGACAAGAAAAAAATGGTGATAGGACAAGAAAAAAATGGAGATAGGACAAGAAGAAAAAAAGGAGATAGGACAAGAAAAAAAATGGAGATAGGACAAGGAAAAAAATGGTGATAGGACAAGAAAGCACTGAGGTCGCGACTAGTCACCAATTAGCTACTATCATTTGGTACATTTCGTACAAGAGAAAACCATGACCTCATCGATAATTCAGCTAAACACGAACACAGAGACAGTAACAAGTCTCAACACAATGCCACAGCGTGGCGTAACCTTGTAAGTTTACGGCACTTGCAACACAATAAGGTCATATATATAAGTGCCGAAGATTAGTAGAGGCGTGGTTCTAAACCCGAACACAGGGACAGTGAAAAGTCTACACAACATGCCACAGCGTAGAGTAACCGTCAGCAATTCCTACAATATGAACTGACACAGGCCTCCCATCTCCTTACTAACAATACATATCATTTCACGCCTTCCCCCACAAGGCAGATTTGTTCTCAGCTTTAGTAAGAGTTTTACGGCATTTGCAACACGACAAGGGTTATATAAGTGCCGAAGATTAGAAGGGTTACAAGAGAGTAACAAACATAAAAAAGAAGGAGGAGAGATAAAGACAATAGTTGTTTAAAAGGAACGAAGGAGCAAACCACACCAGAGCACCCGCCAACTACCCACGTAGCGTAACCTTCAGCAATTCCTACAATAAACTGACACAGGCCTCCCGTCTCCTGACTAACAATAGATCATTTCATGCCCCCCCCCCCCACACACACACACACACACACACACACACACACACACACACACACACACACACAGACACACACATACCCCCCCAACCACCCACACACACACAAGGCAGATTTGGTCTTTGGAGGAGATTGTAACTTGACCGACGAAAGTAGATCTACTTCCTGGTAGTGATTTTCTTTTAGTCAGAACACAACGTATTACTGTTGTACGTTGTACTGTATTGTAAAGCGCTCAGAGCCTGTGTACTTTAATCTGGGTTGAGCGCTATATAAATGTCATTTATTATTATTAGATAGCAAACGTTCTCACAAGGAGCAAACGTTGACGTTCTCACACGGAGCAAATGAGAAATGAGATGGTCAGCCAGAAACC